TCTCACCTTTAAGGTAGTTTTTCTAGTAGCTATTACTTCTGCTCGTCGAGTTTCGGAATTAGCAGCTCTGTCAGTCAGGAGCGATCTATGCGTGTTCCATGCAGACCGAGTGGTCCTTCGTCCCGACCCCACCTTCCTACCCAAAGTTAACTCTCCCTTCCATAGGTCACAGGAACTGGTTCTACCAAATTTTTGCCCTAGGCCCTCCAGGGGCAGGGAGGTCCTCTGGCACACCCTAGATGTTAGAAGGGCCTTGCGTATATATATTAAGCGCACTCAATCCATGCGAAAGTCGGAATCCCTCTTCCTATCCTTTCAACCCAGGTCTCTGGGGCTTAAGGTTTCTCCTTCCACCATCAGTCGCTGGATCAGGGCCACTATTGCGAGGTGCTACCTTTCCCATTCCCTGCCCGCTCCGGGTGGAATAACCGCCCATTCCACCAGAAGTGCAGCCACCTCGGCGGCCTGGGCCACGCAAGCCCCCATCGCTGACATTTGTCGGGCAGCCACCTGGACCTCTCCGTCCCCGTTTATCAGACATTATAAAATAGATACGTACGCCTCAGCGGAGGCCTCTTTTGGCCGACGGGTCTTACAGAGGGTCATCAGTGATCCGGAGGGACCTTCGGGCCAGACGGAGTCCCACCCGTAGGACAGCCCAGCTTTGGTATGTCCCAGTCTCTGGATGCTCCGAGCGGCTCGAGGGAGAATGGGCGTTGGTTCTTACGTGATACGCCCCTTCTCGGCGAGCCGCGAGGAGCATCCAGCCCCACCCTAATTTCTCCGTCTGGTGGGGACTCTTGCTTCAGCCAAGGAGCCAATAGTAGATTAGAAAGAATTAATAACCTCTCTTCTCGTTATCGCAAAAAACTGGGGAGACGCTGCGCGATGCCACGTGAGGGGGCGGAGCGTTTCCTCATCTAAAGCTCAGCCTGCAAGAAGAGGACTCAGAAGCACATCCCAGTCTCTGGATGCTCCTCGCGGCTCGCCGAGAAGGGGCGTATCAGGTAAGAACCAACGCCCATTTTCCTCCAACAGCGCTCTACACAGCTCAGTGGCTCAATGATGCTGGAGATGGTCTCTTTTCCAGCAGTTTGAGTAGTAGCACTGTGTGGCGGGGTGAGCTGTCATCATTCACCTCACTTTCTGTCCACCTAGCAGTTCGAAAGCATGTTCTATGCAAGTAGATAAATAGGTACTATTTTGATGGGGAGATGAGTTGGTGCTCCATGCAGGCAGTCAGATTCCTGCCAGCTCTGAACCTTCCCGATTGTGATCCCTGTTTGTGAGGTAGCTCCAGGGAAGGAAGGGGGACCTTGGATGACGCTGCAGGAAGAGCTGCTCATCTTTCTGGTGTGAAGCCAGCTCACCCTCATGTGGCACACCTTGGGAAGCGTGTGAGCATGTCCCACAACAGAGCTGGTAAATTGGCAGCCAAACTACTCTGCAACTGCTCTTTTGTGGCTTGCTGCAGGGCACAGTACACTTTTCACTCCTTTTTAACATCTACATTAATTACATAATCTGTAATTATGGGTTGAGGTATCACTTGATGATACTCAGCTTTGCATCTCCACCCCTGGTGACCCAGGTAATGCTGTCGCTGACCTTTCATGGTGCCAGGAGGCTGTAGGGGCTGGGATGGAGGACATCAGTCTTTGGCCAAACCCTGGTAAGACTGAATGGCTTTGGGTGCATGGAGCTTTAAGATCGGAGACTTCTATATCCTTAGTTCTGGATGGGGTGGCACTACCCAAGATAGACCGGGTCCACAACCTGGGGTTCTCATGACTCCTGCTCAAAGAGCAGGTGGCAATTGCAGCTAGGAGAGCACAGCTTCAGGTTGTGGGCTTTCCTGGATCAGGAGTCTCAGTGTTCAGTCATTCAAGCCCTGGTCATCTCGCATCTGGATTACTGCAATGTGCTCTACGTGAGGCTACCCTTGAAGACCATTCAGAAGCTACAACTGGTGCAGAGTGCAGTGGCATGGGCAGTTTTGGGGGGCCCTAGAGTGGCCCATAATACACCACTGTTCTGCAAGCTGCACTCACTGCCTGTTTGCTTCTGGGTGCAATTCAAGGTGTTATCACCTTTAAAGCCCTACATGGCATGGTTCCCAACTACTTGAGGAACCATCTCACCCCAATGGGACTGGCCCACCCCACATGTGCTGTCAGAGGAGGCATACTGCAGACCCTGTTGGTCAGGGAATTGCAGCTGGCGGACTCCAGAAGTGTTCTCTGCCATGGCTCCTGCCCTTTGGAACACCTTGCGCCCCCCCCCCCCCCCCCCCCCCCCCCCCCCCCCAAGGTTGGACTGGGTTCCACCCTCCTGCCCTTC